CTGGGTAGACATACCATTATAGTCCTGCCATCACAATATCTGTCATTCAATGAAAGCAAATATGGCAATGGCGCAACATAAACAGTGGTACATGTACATATGTATATACTAATTGGAATTTGAGTGCCTGGTAATCTACGTACTCACAAAGAAATCTTGAACATTTATTGCACATTAGTTATATAAAATTATTGTTTAGTAAACAAAAAAAGCCACACAGATGGTTAATTACTTGATTCACATAGTTGGTAGATATTCGTATTTACTGCGATCATATACTGGAAGAGATTATATCCTATGGCAGAACCTTTCGCATGTTTCCTGATCAGAAATATAGAGAAGAAATAGACAAGCTACCATTTATTGATCCAGTGACTCATCTATTCCTCCAGGAGGAAATACACCTTCATTGTGCTGCCTTTTACCTGGCGAAAGTCAATGAGGTGGTTTGGAATGTGTTAGTATTCAGTAGCATGAAATATTCCGACCATGATCTTTTTGGAAGGTTTGATCACACTTCTTTCCTTCAGTAACATAAAAGGTGCCAGTCATGATCTTTTTTGAAGGTTTTATCACACTTCTTTCATTCAGTAGCATAAAAGATGTGACCATGATATTTTTTTTGAAGGTTTGATCACACTTCTTTCATTCAGTAGAATAAAAGATGCCAAACACGATCTCTTTTTTTTTTTTGAAGGTTTGATCATACCTTTTTTCAATGGCATAAAAGATGCCAACCACGATCTTTTTGGTAAGTTTGAATACACTTCTTTCATTCAGTAGCATAAAAGATGCCGAGCATGATCTTTTAAGAGGGTTTGATCACACTTCTTTCATTCAGTAGTATAAAAGATGCCGAACATGATCTTTTTGGAGGGTTTGATCACACTTCTTTCATTCAGTAGCAAGAAAGATGCCAACCATGATCTAATTTGAAGGTTTGATCACATCTCTTTCATTCAGTAGCAAAAAAGATGTCGAGCATGAACTTTTTTTGAAGGTTTGATCACTTCATTCGGTAGCATGAAAGATGTCGAGCAAGATCTTTCTGAGAAGGTTTTATCGCACTTCTTTTATTTAGTAGTATAAAAGATACGGACCATGATCTTTTTTGAATGTTTAATCACACTTCTTTCATTCAGTAGCATAAAAGATGCCGAACATGATCTTTTTGGAGGTTTTGGTTACACTTCCTCCATTCAGTAGCATGAAAGATGCCGACCATGATCTTTTTGGAGGGTTTGATTGCACTTCTTTCATTCAGTAGCATAGAAGATGCCGACCATGATATTTTTTTAAGGTTTGATCACACTTCTTTCAATCAGTAGCATAAAATATGCCAACCATGATCTTTTGTTGAAGATTTGATCACATTCCCTTCAGTCAGTAGTATAACAGATACGGAATTTTTTTTTTGAGGGGGGGGGGGTTGTTGTTGTTGTTGATCACACTTGTTTCATTCAGTAGCATAAAAAATGCAGACCATGATTTTTTTTAATTGAAGGTTTGATCACACCTCTTTTATTCTGCAGCATAAAAGATCATGAACATGATCTTTTTTTTAATGTTTGATCACATTTCTTTCATTCAGTAGCATGAAAGATGCCGAGCCTGATCTTTTTGGAGGAATTGATCAAGCTTCTTTGATTCAGTTGCATAAAAGATGCCGAATATGATCTTTTTGGAGGGTTTAATCACACTTCTTTCATTCAGAAGCATAAAAGATGCCGAGCATGATATTTTTTTTGAATATTTGATCACATTAAGTCAAATGCTGACTGACTTTTTTCATACTTATTGTTAGGCCATTATTTACACACTGAATATTAATTGTCGACGGATTTTTCCGTTTTTTTTTTCGATCATGACAAGGAGCACACGGCGGATGTGACCGATCGGCAGGGGATGCTCACTGCTCCATGGCATCTGATCCCACCTTTGATGTCTTAGATGTCCGTGTTTGCTCTGCTACTATTTTATAATGTTTAATGGACTTTTGAGCTCGAATAGTGTTCGTTATCTCCACATATTTCATTCTTACATTCAGTAGCATAAAAGATGCCGAACATGATCTTTTTTGAAGGTTTGATCACACTCCGGAGTGTCAATTCTGACTCCATTCTGAATGGAGTTTCAGTTCGTCAATATCCTCTGAAACAGCTTTACTTGTCCACGTTTGTCAGTCCTTTTCCCTTTATAGCCTTTGAAAAGAAACCTGGTGTATTTTGGGCTTCATTTTCGGCCTTCTTGACAATTGCTTTGAGTCTTCATTGGCTTATCAACAAGTCAGGTCTAAATTTGTCTGACTTCTCCTCCTGATGCTCAACAATTCTGATTTCAGGTTTGTAAAATGGTTGTTCCTTGGTACATGTTTAACTTCAGTTTACTCTTGTAAGCTACAGTTAACCGCACCTTAGTCTGTTAACTATTTTTTATTATGTATCTTACTCTAGCTATTTTTTACCAAGTGTTAGTACTTTTGTAAGATTTTGGTTCCAACATGATGAACTACTGATCAATTTCAAGTTGATCAAGTATCTATTTTGTCAAAATTATGACACTAAAAACAAAACAAAACAAAAAATGATGGCTTTTTGTCACTAGTTTCTGTTTCATTAAGGTGTCGTGCGTCATTCGTAAACTTTGGAAAATTTAGCTTCTGTGAAACGACGCTACCCACTTCTGCTACTTGTTGATTAATGGATTTATGATTAAAGGGTAAAAAACAAATTACATAGATTGCAACCAGAATTGGTACAGATACCGTATAGATTCAGCTGAAAACCAATAAATTACAGGCGTAATAAATCAGGAATATATGGAACTCTGAGAATTGCATCTGGATTTAACAGATTCTGGTTAAATCAATTTCTCAGAAATGATGCTAGTTAAAGTCTCCTGAAAAACAAGCACGAAACTTTATTCAATATATAAATGCATTTGCGGACACACACACAAGGTGGTGTACCACAGCCATAACGTCCGTAAAAATAAGAAAGTAAACGTTAAGCTTGTCCTTTTCCAAAGAAGAACAAATATCAGAGTAAGAGATAAATTTTTACATACACTTTCAATAGTGCTATTAAACTGGGATCTTAGATAAATATTTTCATTATCTTTTCAGCTTCCTCATATCAGGTTTACATAGTTTCTAAATACTAACAGATCGCACATAATTCTATCTAGATTTTTACTACAAACATATAGATCTTTTAATACCTTTTCCCAGATGTTTTTCTTAGTTTTCACAATGTACAAAAGGTTCACTTTTCTTTAGGCAGAAATGTTTGAGCTGGTTCGCATATTTCTGTAAATACGTAGAGGGTGCTAACTAGTATTTGTAGTGAATTACTTAATATATCTCGATTTAGCATAAGTACATGTAAATTGTCCCTGATAAACGAAGAACTGTAAACAAGTTTGAAGAAAATATTCCTTTTTCAAGCACTTAAGTAGTTTCGTGCAAAACGAAAATTACACGCCACGTCAGTTATTTCCATATAAGGTTTCAATACAATATTTTGTTATTTATCAGAAATATTGACTAGCTGATAACTAAGAAAATTAGCTGTTCATACTTAATTTTAAAGTCGGCAGGTTTGTTTTGATACAGAAAAAAAAATCACAAAAGAAAGATGCGGTTCTGCAATCGACTGAAGCTTATTTTTGAGGAAGAAAAATATGATATGCCAGAGCAACATGAAGGAAATTGTCTGTGATGCGTTTATATATTATTTTGACGTGAAGCAGTCACCCATCCAAGGTAGTTGCAGAACTGTAGCGTAATGGTTTTATATTTTAGTCTTTGACCATAACCCTACAGATCCAGTAATGCAAATACGAAATGTACGGCGCAAGATTTTCTGTACAGTTCAGGGATGTATTTCTCCATTTTCCAGCATTAAACATTTTATTCTCTAATTCTAGACAAATTCTATTACCAACCTATATATTTTATTCAACTCCTGACCCTTTATAGTCGTCTCTACAGACCAATAAACTCGCTTGTTTTGAATTTTCCGACAAAACATTCAAAACAAGAGAGTTTATGGTCTGTAGAGACGACTATAAAGGGTTAAGAGGTGGATTAAATATACTGGTTGGTAAAAGGACATGCCTAGAATAAGGGAATGAAAGGTATTTTGATGGTCCAATGCTGGAAAATGGAGAAATACATCCCTAAAGTGCGCAGAAAATCTTGCTCCGTATTTGCATAACGGGAACTGTAGTGTTATGGTCAAAAACTAAAACATAAAACCATAACGCTACAATTCTGCAGCTACCATCCAAGGTCTCGCCGCAGCTTTAAAATCTGTCTTAAATTTAATAGAACTGTACCGCATCACTAGAAAAGCTAGCTCTCTAGTGGATGACAGAAGTATCAAAATAATCAACTCACTCAGTCTCTTGAATTTAAATTTTCCCCGGATTTGCTGCATTTGGGACAGTCCCGACTTGGTGGTTTTCCTAATCTTCTATTTGAAAATTCTAATTCCGTAATACTAATCATGAAGGCAATTTGAATTTTTCAAAAGTTTAGAGTTTTTGGTTTGGTTACGGTTGATCACAGCATTTTGTTTCGTTGTTTATCTGTGAAAATGAAGAGTCTTGTCATATTTCTTAATGAAAAAATTTATGTACTCCTCCAGATGAATTGCTGAAGTTAATTTTTTTCTCAGTGGCAGTATGTACAAAAGGACTTCCCGCTTCTTTCCACGGAGGCCATCGAGTATGCCCGAGACTGAGAGCAGACGAGAATTGCACAGTACGTTGGAGAAACTGGACCATAGTATAGGTAACTGCATAAGCACTTAATAATATGCTTTCTTTGTCTACACACGAAAGGCCCTGCCTCTTGACATGTAGTTTGCAAAAAACAAATTCCCTTAAGTTTGGTTTAGAAGAAAACTTACTTCACACTTTCATAGTTATAATCTTGCAAAACTTGAACTGCTCAGTATCTTTGTAGTGTGTACTGGTATTGTTTCTTTCATTCAAAGGTAGGAAGAAAAAATCCATGATGCAGGAGAAGTCAGTCACAGTTTGGAACATCCAGAGGAAAGCATGTTTGGGAGCCCTCTTTTTCGTGTACGTCTTGCTGTCCGTACCCTGTATCATAGATCTCGTGCACTACCTGATATCCAGCAAGGAACTAGAAGAGGTAAACATTGCTCTCCTATAAGGACTGTGTATGGCTCTCAATGATTCAATGAATTTAATTTTTTTTCCTTGATCAGAATTTGGTCCAATCATGATTGTCCAAAAGTTCTTCGTGAACCGTAGAAGAATTACATTTTTTATAAGATATACATGTAATTTTTACTAATTCGTTTTTTGCTACCCGAATTTGTCGGATCTGTTGAAAATAGCCTCGCAATTTGAAGTCTAGAAAAATTATACTACGTTGATGTGCGAAATATTAATTAATGTATTTCATTACAGACTATGCATATATTGGAAGAAACAGTGACGTTGCACTCCTCAACAACACGGGTGATTCAAGGTTTTCACTGTTTGTTTATGAATATAGACTGTGAAACTCGAATGTTGCGTCTTCTTTCCCAAAGTAGACACAGGTGTCTAAATGAAGATCACTTTTTTGAAGTAATCACTGCAATTGTAAAGTCAAGTCCGCAAAACAGCAGCTTTTATCCCTCTACAAATGGGTCTACCCAAAGTGCCTTTTCATCCTTTCCATGTGCTGAAACAACATTCCAGAACTTGCATACTGCAGCTCTTCCAAAGATTGGTTCTCTAGTGGTCCAGTCTTTAAAATACATACGTTCTTCTTACGCTGCTTTTGATGTTTTGGTTAAACTCTACTGGAACTGTTTTTCCAATGAACACACTGACATGCATCATTTCCTCCATGAGGTTAATTATGTAAAAGGGCACCTGTTGTCGTTCTTTTTAAAGGAAAAGTCACACGTTTCAATAAAACAATTGGATATTCTGTTGATAGAGAGGTTCAGACTTTCAGCAAATGGATCATCCGACTTGTGTTCAACAGCAATGCTTCAAGAATATTTGTCAACTGTTAATGAAATAAACGACATATCAAGTCAGCACTTGCAACGCTTGCTATGGTTTACTCAGTCCGAGTATAAATGGTCAATAATTGTCCAGTCTATGTACATTTTTGTCCTCTTAAGCCTACCGTTCATCTGTTGTTGGCATTTTGTCGAATACTGGCGTCGGCTCGTGCTTGTCCATAAATTATCACAAAGATACAACATGGTGACAGATCAACTGATGAAGGAAAAAATGGAGTTTAAGTCCATACTCAGTGAGGTCATTCCAAGGTCGAATTTTGGCGAAGTTGTCTCAGAAGGATCCAGGATGTCTTTGATGTCTTCAGCGTTTAGACCAGACTCTCAGTGCGAGCCAGCACAGGTATCTTTTTCAGATACTGAACTGTCCGATGGTGGCGATGACACGGATCGACCAATTCGGAACTCGAGGATATCGTCGGTAAATCGGTTCAAACAGAAGAGTGTACCGATGGGAACGATTCACGAGACATACAGCATCTACGACAAGATAACAAAGAAACTGTCCAGTAGGAGATCCAATCCGTCCGTGTCAAACGAAGTAACGATTTTTCGTTCAGACATTGTTGGATTTTCCCGAATAATGAAATATTTCACTGCATCTGAAATGGTGAATCTGGTGTCCTACCTGATGAAGTTGTTTGATGAGCGGATACAGCTGTATGATGTGTTTGTTCTGGGGAGAGAGGCGGACTCTTTCACGGTTATCTCTGGTAAGTCAGTGGTTTTGTGTTCATCGGGAAACCTTGTGTGGATGTAGGATATACTTGTCCTCTTCTCTAAAGAGAATAAATGTACACACAGGGAAGAAAATGAAAATGAGAATCCAAACTTTCAATTGTTCGCATACACATGTATATAATAAGCGATATAATTCAAAGTTTCAGATATATCATTGAAGCACGATAAGTTATACATTTATTGCATGAATGTTCAGGGAAATATGAAGATTTATCCAGCCAAGAAAAATCATTTCCTCCCGCGGGCGAAGCCCTCGGGGAATATGACTTTTCTTGGCTGAATAAATCATCATATTTCCCGAACATTCATGCAATAAATTGTTTATTATACCGCAACAAGCCAAGCTTTCAAAATAAATACACTTTCAAATTCGGTACCGCTCTTGAATTCACTTTCAGTTTTAAAAAATTTACTGAAGTCCCTTGGACATTTCACAGACAATTGTCTTCAATTTCTCTTCTTAAAGCATCCTTCTTGAAAAGAAGATCGCTAATTTCGTCACTGCTTGGTAAAGAAAACCTTTAAATTTCTATTATTGTAAATTTCGTGTCATCTGCTGCTCTCGGAAGTTTTCGTTCAACCAACGATGAGTATTGCGGGAAAATGCTCGAGGTCTCCGAAGAGGTTGAAAATGATGAAAAACATGACGACGACAGGGAAATATGAAGTTTTATAGCCCTGTCACATGACTATCTAGAACCAATCAGATAATATGTTGTATAGAATAGTTATAATGAGGTATGATAATATGTTTTATAACTTTCTCTACAAAATATCGCCAACTGTCTTGGTTAAAGCTGAACACGACTCGTAAATAGGCATACGCCATATTCGATTATACTATCTACGATATCAGCACCGGGATATACTCTTTGCATTCGTTACAACTGACTGCTTTATTGTCACGGGTATCGGCGTTGAATGGCGACATGTGTTCGTGCTGGTTATCTTGCATTGCCTTTGTTTATTTATTTTATTGCAGTGATGTGTATTTGTGTTTGTTTGTATACTGTACTGACCTGTGCGACTGTTGTAAGTTTCTTTGGTATCTTACTCTCCTGGTGTAGAAGAAGTACACAGTTACTTTTTGTCGCTACCGAGTTTTGTGTAGCATACGTCCGTCTTCACCGGTGACAACAGTTTACACTGAACAGTGACTAAAAGAGCGGCTTATATAGGCTCTCAGATACAGCGAGTAAATAATCGAATATGGCGAACAAATTCCTTTTACGAATCGTGTTCAGCTTTAAGCATCGAGGCATCACGTTTTACATTAAATTTGGATGATATAAAATATATTTTAAAAAGAACAGATTCTCGGGAGTATACCATGATCTGTACAAACATACATTTTTTCTAACAATAGAACTATTTTGGTAACCTTAACGATAGTGTAAATGATATTCGCAATTATCAGATTCCCTTGCAACAATACTTATGAACATTTGAAATGGATAGCAATAACACAGTGTACGAAACGCTAAACAATTACCATGTTTGGTGTAATTGTAAATTACTTTGAGTAGTTATTGACGATCATTCACAATGTAAAGTACGTATTAGAAACTGAAAATACACACATATTTTCCAGGTATATCATCGGCACAGACAACTCGCCACGCTTCAGAAATTGTGAACATGGCACTAGATTTGATGTCAATCAGTAGCGATTTAGAATTCCAGACAGGCCCCGAGACAAAATTGAGGCTCCGTATGGGAATTCACACTGGTAAGACACGAGTTTTATCTGGTCAATATGAATTATATTTATTTAATGCAACTTCCTTTCGAATTACATTAATTACAGTCAAACCAAACCTCGTTATTTGGAACTCGATGGGACTTGAAAAAAAATCGAGATATCCGAGGATTTGAGTAAAACTACATTAAGAAAAAGTGGTTGAGGTTTCCAAATTACTTTGACATATCCATGGTATTCGAGATATCGAGGTTTGAGATACCGAATTTCAACTGTATATATTTTTTTTTTTCTTTGGATCCAGGTATTGCCTACAGTAGACAGGTTGGTTTTCCAAGACCGCGGTACAATATTTGCGGAGATATTTTAGGAGTTGCCAAGAAGATTGTTCAAAATGCGCAGCGTAAGTTTCAGCTTTAAAGTGAAAGGATTTGATAAGAAAGTAAAAATCGGCCATCTATAATGAAATACAATTCACTATTTCCAAGTCATAATGGATTTGATTGGATACCAAAAATCAGCCAACTCTAACACGATTCATTGTTTTTCAGCCAATCAAATTCAAGTCAGCGAAACAACATATCAACTACTGTGTCGACATGTTGCATACAATCTAGGAAAGAGTGGTCATGTCACAACCGAGGTAGGTTAATAATTTGAAAATCTTATTTCTTAGTTTCTTTCTCAATGTACATTAACATATATTGCATTCCATTATCATATTTTAAAAAAAGTGTTTTTATTAAAGTGAATATTTTAACAATAAAAATTTCCTATCAGGCAAATAAGAATATCAAAGTTTATACTCTGAACGGACGTCGAGTGTCGGAGGATGTGACGGCTAGAGACTGTCCAGGGAAAAGGACCGCATGGATTCCTATACAACTGGAGCAGAAAGCACTGTACAGGTTGGTAATTACTGGTGAGATGTAGGGCCCAAGCAATCAGAAACTTCTTTATTTACCATCGCAGGCACGTAATATCGGGGGGGGGGGGGGCACCTTTTTTCCAAACATAACTTTTTACTAGTGAAAGGCCGATTGCCCCCCCCCCCCCTTTTTGTTGCAGTATAGGCAAATAAGGGTAATGTAGTAGTGTATGAATAAAATTTGGTACTGAAGGAAGTTGGAACCTACACCCCACGAAATAGGATTTTCGAGTTTGAACAACTTTCCTTTTTTTTCTTTTTTCTTTTCAAACTTTTTTTCTACGGAAGCCCGTTGAGGCCAGTTCAGAGAAAGATATATTTTTTTAAAAAATGCGTTTAAACATAATAATTATTGCGTTTAAACGCATAACATTGCGTTTAATCGCAATAATCATTGCGTTTAATCGCAAAAGATTGCAATTAAACGAAATCTTTTGTGTTTAAATGCAATAATTTTACGATTAAACGCAATACATTTTGCGTTTAAACGCAATAATATTTTTGCGTTTAAACGCAATAATATTGCGATTAAATGCAATACTTTTGAGATTAAATGCAATACTTTTGCGATTAAACGCAATAATAATTTTTGCGTTTAAACGCAATAATTTTTGCGTTTAAAGGTAATAATCTTTTGCGTTTAAACGCAATAATTTTACGATTAAACGCAATACATTTTGCGTTTAAACGCAATAATATTTTTGCGTTTAAACGCAATAAATTTTGGGTTTAAACGCAATAATTTTTGCGTTAAATCGCAATAAATGCAATACTTTTGCGATTAAACGCAATAATAGTTTTTGCGTTTAAACGCAATAATTTTTGCGTTTAAAGGTAATAATCTTTGCGTTTAAACGGAATAATTGTTCCTTTTAATGATTCGTTTTGCATTTAAACACAATGATACTGTAGTTTAAAAATTAGACATCAATAAGCCAAAGCTTATAATTACTAGGATCCAACACTTCAAAGAACCGTTTGGTTCTGTGTCTTTTTGCAAAATTTTCAAGTTTTTGAAAATTGTAGTAAAACAATGGCATCCTAACAAACCAGAATGTCTTACACGTATTAGAACCCAACACTCTTAATGAAGCTTTTGATCAATTGCTTACGTATCACAACTAGTATTGAACGTATCAGTGGTACTAATAAAAACTTGTCAATTTGGTAATACACATCGATCAGTCTGTTTTCATTTGATTTTGATCTCATATGATTCCATCACCTATGCTCTTGTGTTTACTGTATGCAATATTAGGAAAGGTTGTGAATATATATTTAAGTCTGAATACTTTATTATGTTGTACGTAATTCCAACATTTCATCAGTCTTTTCCTGAACTCCTTTATACATGAGTTAAACTTTGTGGCCGCAACGTGGGGGCCATTTTTTAATCATTTTTTTCCCTTTAGTCTTTTATTTAGAAGATCCATTCTAATTGTTTGCAGAAATTGTTTCAAAGTAGAAAAAATAACAAAATAGAAAAGTGATTTGTGATTGTAAGCAACTAACCAAATCTTCGTTAAGAATATATCGATCTAATAAGTTTAAAAATGTCTCGTTCTTAGGTTGCCTTTGTTTTTACAACCCGACATTTTTTCCTCCTCTATAAATTCACATCAGTAATTTATTCTTTCAGAGAGCGTTTGCTGGGAGGAATCTGATTCTATAAAGCTAGACAATACACAATTTCCAAATAAGTAAAAGGGAAAAAAATAAAATATATCAGTATGTGTGGGTCCGTTGTATTCTGCAAGGTTTGATACAAATGATTGCCTTTATACACAAAGATTATTAAGTTAAAACGCAACGATTATTACGTTTAAACGCAAAGATTATTGCGTTTAATCGCAAAATTATTGCGTTAAAACGCAAAAATTATTGCATTTGATCGCAAAAGCATTGCGTTTAATCGCAAAAAATCTATTCCGTTTAAGTGCGCAAAGCAATGCGTTTTATCGCAAAATTATTGCATTTAAACGCAAAAGATTGCATTTAATCGCAATTTTTTGCGATTAAACGCAAAGTGTTTTGCGTTTAAACGCAATATATATTGCGATAAAACGCAATCTTTTGCATTTAAACGCAATGGTTATTGCAATTTAACGAAATGTGTTGAGTTTAAACGCAATAAAAATATTTCTTTCTCTGAACTGGCCTCAAAGGGCTTCCGTATTTTTCAGGTAAGTTGAAATTTTTATTTTTTTCTCTGGCTGCCCCTCCCCCCTTTCAGAAACGATTATATAAGTCCCTGCATCGCAACATCACGGAAAAAAATACATAGTACTCCACTTATCTACTTAATTGCACTCTTTTTTCAATTTCGTTTGATTTTAAGTCTACTCTTTCTGTTTTCCAAATTTAAAGCAATTTGTCTTAAGGCTTACAATACAATAAAATCAGATTTTGTTTTTAATCAAAGATTTGAGGCTGAGGAGAATCGATATCTGGCACCGTTGAATTGGATGATGCCGAGTTGTTCCTACTCCATGGCATCTGGATCTACATCCCCCAGTATCTCCAACACAAGGTGTGCCTCACGTCAGAGCAGTTCCAGTCGCCCCCTCCGGATATCAACACAGGAGTCTTATAGAGGGCCATGGGATTCCAAGCATGGCAGTGCCAATCTAGACTTGTATCAAAGTTAGCAGAAATGTCTCAGAAAGCATTGGCTCTCTAAGTAATTAGGGATGTCTATTTTTGAAGATTAATCTTTTTCCAACTCCTAGGGCATTTGTGTCAATATTGATTTTTTTTCCTTTAAAACTTCATTAAGAAACATTGTAAATACCAGAATAATTTTGCTATTAAGAAATTCTTGATTATCTGCTTGACAAGTTAAAGATTCCACATCTTGATCAATAAAATGAGAAAAACTCTTTTGGAAGCTTATATGGTTTATTTGTTTCAAAGAGAGGGAAATGTGTGACATACACTTTGTGATATCAGCGAAGCTAATTAAATGACTAGACATTTGTAGAAAAGTAACACACCACTAAGAAACAGATCTAGACACACACACAAATCTCCATTTACTACCATCACAAACTGGATGAGCAATAACCTTTTTTCAATGCAAAAAACCTTAATATGTGGAGTAATTTGACATCATTCCACTTTTCTTCATCATACCAAAGTCAATAAAGTATTGAAAAGCAGTCTTGAGCTAAAATTGTTCTAGGAAATGTGTTATATAAAATAAATTAGATTTGAACAAAAACAAACTGACATTTATCATGGCATATGTTGTAAATGTAAAGCTACGGTAACTGCACTATTATTGACCATTATTATTTCAACAGGAAAGTTGATTCCACTAAAGCCGATGAGACACACCTTATATATTGTACTGAACTGTAAATTATTTAATTAATCTACCAATTCCATATTCAATTCCAAAATAAAAGCCAATTTCAGTTAATTCTTAAATTTCTACCTTCAGGAGTTTATATGGCCTAAAATAATCAACAGCCAATTCCATTTTTTTTTTCTGGTATAACTGATATAAAACTCTTCATTATTTGTGAGTTTAGATTACTTTCTTGGTTTAACTTATATCAGCTTTGTGGGGAAAAATCTACAAGTAATTTTAATGTACAGCATCCTTTCTAGTTTCTACACAACAGTAAGAAATAAAAAAATTGTAAAAACTTGTAGAAATGACAGAACATGTGCACTGATATGATATCATCTACATTGCCCTAGTACCTGTGCTCCTATAAATATCATGGCACTTCTAAATGGAAAAATAAGATCTGTTTTCACACACACATACAAATTCTCCAAGTCTCTGGGACTCACATATCACTAGTACACACACGGATAAGTCAGTGTATCTATATATTGCACATCAACAAGGAAGGTTAGCAACTAGAGACCCAGATGCCACTATGCTCACCTGAGCCATATTTCTCTCTCTGACAAATAATACGTAACTGAAACCCACTAAAGTGGACATACTCTTACAGTCCCCGACCTACAATTTCCAATCACAGTATACTGAAGCTTGATATAAAAATTTTACACTGTAATTTTGTTGCTTTACTGGAAGTCTACATATTTCTGTGCAAATCTTTGACCCCTTACTGTAGCCATGGTAACCCCACACTTGTCCTGAGGATTATGATACTAGAAGAACATGACGATATCAGTTGATGATTATTTAATTAATTGCTGTATCTATTTCAAGATTCTTTTTATTTTATATTTCTATATTTATAATAACTGCCCCAAAATTAATCTCAACAACAAGAAATTACATACATGTGTATATATTTCCTTGTAAAACTTTGCCCCTGTATTAAGGACAAACCCTAATCTTGGGGACCATAATTTGAGTAAATTTGAATCTGTATTATAAAAACTATCAAGGATGATTGTATGATGATTGTAATAGCTGCAGCTATTCAGTTCTTCACAAGAAAAAAGTTTTCCTATTTTGGCACATCCTAGTTCCAGCCATGATTTTTAAAAACATGAATTTAAACTCTTTAAGGGTGGTTTAATTTTTTTTTTTTTTTTTTTGGATTGGCTCTTTAGAAGATGAATTTAAAATGACACCATCCTGTCTCTACTATTAATTATTTATCTTCCCTTGGAAAGAGGTCCCCATGGGTGTTTTGAGTAATATTTTCTAAAACAAAAAAAAAAAAAAAATGGCCAGCGAGTCTGGAGAAATCCAAAATGTGAAAGGTTAACAGACAGATGACAAACAGATGTATAATAGAAAATTTGATCAGAAAAAGCTGGTTAGGGTATTCTACAAATAACCAGGAATTTTCTCATGGTAAAACTGATCAGAAAGAAATACAAAAAAAAAAAAACAGAAGTCTGAGACACCGTCGATTGTACATAATGCACCACATACTTTAATACAATATCCTATAAAAATGTATATATAAAAAAAAAATTGATTCATTATGATGGTTAAGGGATACAAATGTAGACACCCCACTATTTTTGGAGGGTAATACATTTTGTTACTGAAATAGTATTATACAGGTAAATGCTGGAGTGTGGTATCTGCAAATTTCTGAAGAATTCTGCATTTTATATGTTATACAAATGAGTGAAATAATATGTTTAACAAAAATAATAATACACATTTTCTTACATGAATGCCAAGGCAAACTGACAAACATTCATAAAACCTATAGAAAACAAAAACTGTTATACAGATATCTGATTGATAATGATTAAAGGTATACATGTATGTAGCTCATCTCAAAATAAGACATTTCCTGTAGAGACTAAAATAAAAAACAAACACAAAACAAAAATGCAGCATGTACAATGTATTACATTTGTTCAACTGTGTTACGGAACTTATGCAAGGAAAGAAGCAAGAAGCCCTTTAAGCATAGCTAGCAATAAATATATGCTGAAAAATATGTACATCTTTAATATAAAAAAGAGATATACCGGTAAGCAATGCAAATATCATCTCTTAAGATTTGTCAATAACAAATGGCGATATACAATAACAGAGATGTTTCTAACTGCTGGAAATGTAAACAGAACACAATATGGACTGTTGCTGCCCCACAGGATGGTCAGGGAGGGTGGTAATTATCCCCATACTGGTCAGTAGGGGGTTGTACAAGTCTTGTTACTCTACGTTATCCTTGCGCTTTAATTTCTCTGGATTTTCCGATGCCATATGGGTGAAGTCTTTGAATACATCATTAAATGTTTCATCTCCTGGTGGAATATGAAGACAAGTTTCATCAACTTAAATCATTTTAAATATTTAAAGGAGAACAAAGACACGAACAATGCTAAATAAGACTGTACACATTACAAACACTTATGACAAAGCATGATTTGAGTGCCAGTACATGCGAGTTCACTAGATATACCTAGAAGTCTCTGATGAGACTGTAGCTCTACTGGTGTGTACTTATAATAAAGGAAGATCTTATCATAAAAATAGCCTTCTTGTTTAAAAAAGTCTAATTGGACCAAAACTGTAGGAGGAGAAGTGTTTTAAAAGAATTCAAAGAAATTTCTCTATTTTTAGTAACCATGCCAAACCCCATATATTATGTATGGTATCTTAATATTATGTATTATGAACTGTGTATCTTAATATAGTCTAGTTGTGTACCAAGTCTTATTGAAACTGAAACATTTTGAAAGAATTTCAGAGAAATTTCTATTTTTAGTAACCATAGCAACACTGTTTGTCAAAATCAAAAACCGATACACAGAATTATGTGTCTTAGTGTAGTCTACTTGCATACCAAGTCTTCTTGAAATTGGACCAAAACTGTAGGAGGAGTAGCGCTTTGAAAAATTTACAAACAGATGGACCGATGATGGACCCCTTAACAATGCATAAGCTCTTAATAGAGCTAAAAATGACAATTTCTGTTGTTCCCATCATTCAAAAAACCTACTTCTAAAATGAACAGTCATAGTAATATAAGATACAATACTCCCTCTTATAAAAACATTCATTTTAAAAATAAAAGACCAATTTAATAAAACAAAATTAAGAAATCAAAAAAATCAATTTCTGGGCAATCAACATGAATTTGTTCAATTTTCTGGCACTGTGTGTCCAAAACAAGGTGGTTGCTCAATACAGCAAAAAGTAAAATGGACTAAAAGTAAATCTCTGAAATCAGACTATCTCTCACCTGGATTTCCCCCATCCTCTTTCATGTCCTCATTCAACTTTGCTAATCTCAATCTACAATGAAATAATTATTTATAATCCCTGTGACACTTTTACTGTCAATAGAATATAAAGACTGCTATCATTTAAGATTTTTAGGCACCACTATAGGAACTGAAGTCCAATGTTCAAGACTGTGATGCCGATTTTCAAATACAATAATTAAAAGGTATACCAGGGATACATATTTGTCCCTGAGTTTATTACAGCAATGTTAAAGAGGAAACAGAAACATAATCAGTTTTAACAGAATGGAACACAGTCTTATTTAATTACTACTGCAGCATACTTATCTATCTGAATTTGACTTCAAATAGAAATTGAAACAGTTTTTAATTGAAAAAAATACAGGATTTTTTTTTCACATGTTGCATCTTGTTTTCTAATTTCATTTTGGTAATTGGTTAATAATAGGGATGTCAACGAATAGTCAACTATTCAATTATCAGTCGAATGGACCAACTATCAAATAATTAAACAAAATTTCAAATAAGTAACTGCAAGAAAAAAGTGATAAGGAAATAGAATTCTCATCTCAAACTGAGAATCCTTCTATCCGTCTTTCCTTAGACACAGTGGATATGATAATTTTCCTCAATAAAAACTGTTGATTTTCCATGTACATGAAGAAAGTACAGTAATTACATATGCGTCATTACCACTAGAATTATTTATCAATTACTATCTGTTTTGTTTTTGTAATAAATTATGCATCACTATACTTGGCTTTGTTTGAAAAATTATTAACTGGACTTTATCCAATAACAATGTACCCATTATACGAGGGTTGTCCCAGAAAAACACGAACTTTTTCAATATTTTTTGTTTTACTAATATTATAAAGTTAAAAATTGACACGCACCATAATAAACATTTTTTTTTTTTACAAAATTCACAGAAATTTCAATAAAATATCTCTATAAATAATATTTTTCTCTCTGATAAATGACTCATTCAAAATAGCTCCCGGCGCAACACCGACGACGTCAAACGTAGCTCGGAATCGTGCGTCTTAAAAAATTCCTTCAAAGCAGAAATTCGATACTACATTTGATTTTCTTTTAGTTACCGAGTTATCCATTTCAACATACTACAGTGAAGAATAAATCAAGGAATTAAAATCTTTTAATGGACAATTTCCCAACCCCAATGAACTTAACTGCTCGCACAGTTAACGGCGGTCTCCACATATGACGTCCAGCTCTAGACTTTTCAGTTTGTCATCATTTTTGTTGGTCTACCAAACGCTTCTTCCATCGGATAACCAGTCCATCCACCTTTGAACTTCTTTTACGATGTATAAAACAGTGTTCGGTACATGTACTTGTGTCGTTCCCTCGTTCCCAGCTCTTTTCCCGAATGAACAGGAGTCATAGCTTGCTCCACACAGTAATGATTGATAATTTGGTGTGCGGCATTATCGCCCGACGTCACCATTTTTGACAATATCTAACTAATAGTGTTAGGTCATACAACATCATATTTTTGTTATTTATGATGTCAAAGTCTTTTTTTTTTTTTTTTTTTTTTTTTTTTTACACACAAGTACTTCAGATCGTGCAGTTTCTATGGATGTAATTTTTGTCACATTATATTTCCGTATAGACTTGTAATAAAGAAAACATAGATGGCAATTCTAATTTTGAAAGTCAAGAAATTGCCGTGCACCGACCACCGATATTTAACACTCTTTAAATGCCGTTTCTAAATGCATATGACACTCCAGCCTAATGGTATTTGGCCAAAATGATGAAAATATCATTTCCAAACATTGTGCCAAAAATGAATAATTTTGGTCAGGTAGTTTATGAACTATTTAAAAAGTTCAGGTTTTTCTGGGACAACCCTCATATATTGTTATTTCTAAGAATGTTTAAATGCGGGGAACATACTGTAGCCGTGGAAGTACTGCCGTGAGAAGTTTTGACACCTTGATAATTATTAAAACAATTCTCTTATATTGTAAGGACATGATAGCAGGGGCAATCAATAATTGAACAAGTATTATTTAACTGTTGATGTGTGGATAGTGTGTGTTTAACCACCCTCCCTTTTCAATTTGTTAATAAGCTTTAAAAAATATCGTACTGACCATTTTTTATGCTTACTAAAATAAAAACTGACTGTACTAACCAATTTATGAATGTATTGACGGGGAAATCATACATTTTTCAGAAATACCGTCTCAAAAATATAAACACCTTATCCACACATTAGTTGCATGTGAACATCTGTGTGTAACATAGGCAATTGATGTTCGGTAACTTTTTTATATAAGTTTACGTAAAAGGGTTTTTGAGTTATAAATAAATACACCATGTACCAATGAAGTTTGAAATAAAATTTTATTTTCAGAAAATGTTCCGAATATTTGACTATCGTTCGAATAACGCAATCGAATGTTCGACTAAGGAAAATAAATATTTTGACATCCCTAGTTAATAAGTTCTGCAAATTTCCAGCTCATTAATATAAGGAGCCCACATGGCAAATGCTAACATTAATTAGCATTAAACCTTGACTACAGTGTATGACACAATTAGTACAGGGATTCAGAAGGAACACCTCTAGATCAACAAATACTGAGTACTGACAATTAATGAATCCACTCTCATTAATATGTATTCTTTCAAAATTCTGTTTCTGTCGTTTTTCAAAATAAAATACACTGTATTAAAATATATGAGCTCAAGTTTCATGAGAATATGCAAATCCTATGTATTTACCGAGTGATCTACTTTCTACAGCTCGACTGTTTGACATTTTGTTTGTATACATTTGAGGTAACACATACAAAGACAGTAAATATAACCTCCCACAGACTTAACTATATAAGTGTACTCACAATGTTACAATATCAGCATTGGCAGCACTGACTGCTATCTCTAGAGGGTCCTAAAGGAAAGAGAATTATAAAGGGATACTCATATCAAGTAATATACATATAAAGTCCATATAAAATTATTCTGAAAGTATTCATATGCTATAACTGACCTGTCCACTGCCATCTTTAGCATGTAAATCTGCTCCTCTCTTAAGGAATTGACACACTTGTCTATTAAAAAAAATAATTTCTTAAAACATGTAAACAAGGTTAAAAAAAAGGTTGTCACATAAATAAAGAATGCAATCTGGGATCAGTTTGGTATTAGTTTATTTCCTTTCGAGATGCCATCCTTACCCTGTGTGTCCTTTGATGGTGGCATGGTGCAGAGGGGTTCTCCCTAGCTTGTCTTTGCGATCAACTTTAGCACCATTCAACAGCAGAAACTCAGTTATTGTTAACGAACCCTGCAAATATAAACATTGAATGAAAAAGTCCCTGACACTGAGAATCACGGCCAGGAACACGTTAAGTTCCTAGACAGTACCGTTGTCAGAAACCTTTAAAGTTAAGCACTTAAACTGGTTCGTTGTCATGAACATACAGGTGAGGTTATGTTAAAATCCGTCCGGTGTCATGACTTGAGTGGACAGGCTGTGAGAAGTTTTTCGTTTCTCAGGTTAAATTATCTATAACAATGTCTGAAATTGCAATGGGAAACAGGGCTGACACCGTATTTGGTGCTGTATGAATTTCAGCCATTAAAAACAAGTAATAAAAGAAGAGTTTGCGTTGGCGACATTAACTCTGTTGAAATCACTTGTGGCTTTGATTCGTTTTCCTACTGAGATGTTATATTTTTCGTAAATAGAATATAATATACACACCAATTGGTGCAGACAGTATCAAGACATGTTGTAAGCCTTTATAGAAAAATTGAGAACAAATTAAAACTGCAAATTTTGATTTATTTCAATTTTTGTCCGTTGTCATGACAAGATACAAAAATTCAGTCCATTGTCATTGGTCCGTTGTCGCTACTGTACTGTATACACTACGATCTTATGTTGTTTTAATATTGTTAAGCATGCCATCAAAAAGAGAGGTGTGACGGTACATATTGTCGTTTTGTACATATTGACGTCGGCGACAATGCGTAATGGAAGACAAACTGTACAGTCAAGCATCAGCACGTTTTGTCGTGGGCGACCATATGTACTGTGACCATTGGCACATTTTGTCGCAGATATACTGTGTTGAATATTTACTAAGGTCGTGAAGAGAGAGAGAGAGAAAGAGATTGAAACACATACACAGAGAAAGAGAAAGAGAGAGATCTAGACAGACAGAAGGATAGACAAAGTGTTTGGCTGATAAATAAGTAAACAAGTTGTATTTATTTAGCATTACTCGCAATACTGTAGGGAGAAATGGTGTTGCTCAGTGTCCAGCATTGGTTTACATGACTATGATATGTCAAAATACTGTAATTCTTGAGATATCTGAAAAATCAGTCTATTCTTTTTTCTCGTTATATATACATTGAATATATGAGATTGAAAGTTATTTGTTCAGTAGAAATGTTATCTGGAATTCATTTTTTTTTTTTGCTTAATTCTCATACGAGTGCCAATATAATTGGTGTGGGGATTGACATATTTTTAGCTCACCTGGCCCCAAGACCATAAACTGAGAAAAGACTTAAGGTGGTATGGGATGCCAAACGAAACTTCTCCTACAAATTTATTTACCCAAATTAGGAGGATTTGAAATACCCCAACCTTTCAGTGTGTTAAATTGTAATTTTAATAATTTTCAATTATTTTAATGAGAAATACAAAAAATTGATTTTTTCTTATGTAATTCTTTTTTCAAAAGCTTAATATTATAGGCAGGAGTTTACTAATATAAAGTCTATATAAAACAAAAATTACAAGAAATATGTCTTAGTATTTTTTTTAATTTTCAACAAAAAATAAACCTAAACAAGAGGCCCATGGGCCACAACGCTCACCTGAGTCAATATGGCCCTGCTGTTCTTCGTCAGCAGATTTCTTCTCCTATATTTCTCCTATATATTCATATATAAAGCTTTGATCGCCTGTTCTAGGCATACCCTACCCCAAGGTGCCATGTTTTGAATGAAATTGAATATAAACCTTCTGAGGATGCTTCTATCTTCACATAACTAATCATGATTTTGCTGTTCTTTAAAACAGAATTTTAAATATGTCTAACACCCTACCCTGAGGGGGGGGGGGGGGGGGTGTCATGATTTGAACAAACTTGAATGTACACTAACTGAGGATGCTTCCATATCAATATGACTGATCATGGCTTTGTTGTTCTTGAGAATGAAGAAGATTTTTAAAGATATTTCCTGTATATGTTCTTTTGTAAAACTTTGATCCCCCATTATGGCCCCACCCTACTACTGGAGGATGCCTTGAACAAGCTTGAATCTACAATATTTGGGGATGATTCCATATCAATATGACTAAGTGTGGCTTTGTTGTTCTTGAGAAGAAGATTTTTAAAGAATTTTCCTATATATTCCTATGTAAAAATTTGATCCCCCATTGTAGCCCCACCCTACCCCCGGGGGTCATGATTTGAACAAATTTGAATCTACACTACTTGAAGATGATTCCATATCAATATGACTAATTGTGGATTTGTTGTTCTTGAGAAGAAGATTTTTAAAGATTTTCCCTATATATTCCTATGTAAAAGTTTGATCCCCCACTGTGGCCCCACCCTACCCCCAGGGGTCATGATTTGAACAAACTTGAATGTACACTACCTGAGGATGATTCCAAATCAATATGACTAATTGTGGCTTTGTTGTTCTTGAGAAGAAGATTTTTAAAGATTTTTCGTATATATTCCTATGTAAAAGTTTGATCCCCCATTGTGGCCCCACTCTACCCCTGAGGTATTGATTTGAACAAACTTGAATCTACACAACCTGAGGATGATTCCATATCAATATGATTAATTGTGACTCTGTTGTTCTTGAGAAGAAGATTTTTTTCTAATATTCCTATATAAAACTTTGATCCCTCATTGTGGCCCCACCCTACCCCCAGGGGTCATGATTTGAACAAACTTGAATCTACACTACCTGAGGATGATTCCATATCAATATGACTAATTGTGGCTTTGTTGTTCTTGAGAAGAAGATTTTTAAAGAATTTTCCTATATATTCCTATGTAAAAATATGATCCCCCATTGTAGCCCCACCCTACCCCCGGGGGTCATGATTTGAACAAACTTGAATCTACACTACCTGAGGATGATTCCATATCAATTTGACTAATTGTGGCTTTGTTGTTCTTGAGAAGAAGATTTTTAAAGATTTTTCCTATATATTCCTATGTAAAACTTTGATCCCCCACTGTGGCCCAAACCTACCCCTGGGGGTCATGATCTGAACAAACTTGAATCTACACTACCTGAGGATGATTCCATATCAGTATGACTAATTGTGGATTTGTTGTTCTTCAGAAGAAGATTTTTAAAGATTTTCCTTATGTATTCCTATGTAAAACTTTGATCCCCCATTGTGGCCCCACCCTACCCCCGAGGGTCATGATCTGAACAAACTTGAATCTACACTATGTAATGAAGGTTTCACATAAGTATAAACTTTTCTGGCTCAATGGTTCTTGAGAAGAAGATTTTTAAAAGATGACACCAAATTTTCACCAATTCTTAATTATCTCCCCTTGGAAGAGGGCATGGCCCTTCATTTGAACAAACTTGAACCCCCTTCACCCAAGGATGCTTTGTGGCAAGTTTGGCTGAAATTGGCCCAGTGGTTCTGGAGAAGAAGTCGAAAATGTGAAAAGTTTACAGACGGACGGACAGACGGACAGACAGACAGACGGACTACAGACAAAATGTGATCAGAAAAGCTCACTTGAGCTTTCAGCTCAGGTGAGCTAAAAACTGGGAAAGTTTCATTTCTTGAAAACAGACGGATAACATTTCATGAAAGTCTACAATTAGAATGTATCTTAATATGTTAGCAAAATGAAATAAACAAATTGAAAAAATAGATTAAATAGAAAATATAGGATACATTTAAAACTTTTTGAATTAAAAGATCCGAACGGAAGAGTTATGGTCCTTCTTTATTTTCCAAGGGTTGAAAAAAACCTGGGTGCTATTTCAGAAATGATGAGCATTTTTTCCCAAACTTAAAAAAAAATAGCACTTTGTTGCAGTGGTAGTTTTCAACTTTGAACTGTTTTGAAAACAATACATGGACAATCGCTTTCCAAGACGTGTCTCGTTCAGATCAATTGCACTCATCTAATCGTTTTAGGACTGTATACAACAGCTAGCTGCTTTATGACCAAACAGTGACTTCTTGAATTAAATAACAAAGAAGACCAGCTCTGGTTAACGTGATAATTGATTGGTCATAATTCAGCACAATGTGAAGTATAATCGCACTTATCCATGCCTCACCGCACACAACGTGCTGTACAGTTACTCAAACAATTGAAACATAGCTTTTGCTTAAAAGTGTTCAAAAGCAGCGATGTTGAAACTACCTTTCACAGGTATTTGCTTTTTAAATGACCATAGTACAATTATATAAGTAAATTTATATACTTGCAATTTTTTTTGTCTATTTTTACTTAAAATGCCGACTTGTGAGAACTAAAATTAGCTTCAGAGTGTTCTTTTAAACGGTGTATCTACAAATTTTGACCCGATAATAAGCACTCATGCAAATCAAAACAATACTTCAAACGGAAATATGTCATAACGTGGAGGTATCCCATACTACCTTAAGTCAAAATTTCAAATCAGTATAATTTTTGAAATAATTTTAATAATGAAACACATTTTCGCCGGCGACAATATGAACAGGACGACTAAATGTTTCGCCACAATCACGCTACATGAATAGCATACGAGATACGTCAAGGAAATCGCAGAAATCAGTTCGGTATTCAAAAGTTTAAATACTAAAGTGGGAAGTGGGGGGGGGGGGGGGGCTTTTGAATTAATATGACTAATAATGGCTTTGTTTTCTAAAGAAGAAATTTTTATTGATATAACCTTTATATCCCTTTGTTTAACTATGATCCCCTGTTTGGCCCCTCTGTGGGATCATGATCTGAACAAATTTAAATCTACATTACCTGAGGATGCTTTTATTTTATTATGACCAATGACGTTTTTGCTGTTCTTGAGAATAAGATTTTTAAATGATTTCCCCTATGTATTCCCATGTTAAACTTTGATTTGAATAAAATTGAATCCACACTACCTGAGGATGCTTCCATATAAATATGACCAATCATGGCTTTGCTGTTCTTGAGAAGAAGATTTTTAAATATTTTTCCTATGCTATCCTAGGTAAAATTTTGATAGCCCACTGTGGCCCCATCCTACCCCCGGGGGTCATGATTTGAACAAACTTGCTAACTATTCAGCGATACTTCCACATAAGTTTCATATTATCGGCCGAAGATGAAAATCAAACTGCGGCCTGGCGAACGATGATCGGGCGACGGTTGGCCAACTTATAAATATTTTTACTTTTAAAGGTATCGATGTTCCTAGGAATTAATATGACTACTCTGCGTCACCCGATACTATAGTGTCGGCGATCATATTTTTTCAGCTGACGATACGAAAATAAATTGTTCGCCCGACCATCGGCTTCAATGTGACCTAAGCATAATATTTTAATTTTGTTATACTGATGATATACAAGGAATTGTATATGTTTGCATAATAGCTAGGATGTAGGTTCCTAAGAGAAAATGAATTGAAAATAAAAACATCGCTGAATAGTTAGCACGTTGGTGTGAGCTGCTTTAAGACAACCCCGAGATTCAAATATATTTGTAATATGCTTTGTATCTTTTTTTTTTTTTTTGAGTTAAGCATATATTTGATCATTTCTGTTGCATTTTATTGATTTACTTACATGTTAAGAAAAATGACACCGGACCAGACAAACTTAACATGTACTGACAACGGACTTTTTGCTTATAAATTGCGATTTCTTAAAACATGTTAGCTACAAAAGGCTGTCAGTTGCCTTATACATTGCAAATGAAGTTTCTCTTCATATTTTAAAATAAAAGAACCATTTCGATGAATTAAATATAAGAAATATATAATTTTCTAGCTCACGACCATGGCTTCACACATGGGCATGTTATCGCCAACCAAAACTCCTCAAAATGTATTATGGATATCAAATACATAAATCTTTGTATGGAATACTGAATGTTGTATCTGTTTCCCAAAATTCAAATTTATTCTTAGAATTTGTCAAAAACGTTAAAATTTAGGCATTATGTATAAATTCTTGTATCTTTTGCATGACACCGGACGGATTTTATCATAACCTCACCTGTATGCTCATGACAACGAACCAGTTTTAGTGCTTAACTTTTAAGGTTTCTGACAACGGTACTGTCTAGGAACTTAACGTGTTCCTGGCCATGAGAATGCAAAACATAAGGACATCATCTGATACATATTTTTTCAAACTTTTTCATCATTGAACATTAATAGTTAAAGTTAACAATTTCTATAGTAACACACATAACAAAAACTGTTCTACACACAGGTCACAGTTTTTTTCATGTGCTATATATTAATGACCTCTGAAAATCTAAATACATGTATAACAGAATACACGGATTTTAGCTATCCCAAGAGCTTCACTAGAAGCATGTTTTCCTTCATACCCTAAAATCAGACAAAGAAATCATCCAAGTGCTTTCTATCTCCATAGGGAGTTTGACCGAACTTCACTGAAAGTCCCACTTAGTGTCTACAGCTTTCTAACAGTCCTACTTACAGTGTCTACATCTTTATGACAATCCCACTTACAGTATCAACAGCTTTCTAACAGTCTCACTTACAGTGTCTACAGCTTTATGACAGTCTCACTTTCAGTGTCTACAGCTTTCTGAAGGTCCCACTTACAGTGTCTACAGCTTTCTGACAGTCCCTGACTTACAGTATCAACAGCTTTCTAACAGTCTCACTTACAGTGTCTACAGCTTTCTGACAGTCCCACTTATTGTGTCTACAGTTTTCTGACAGTCCCACTTACAGTGTCTACAGCTTTCTGACAGTCCAACTTAGTGTCTACAGTTTTCTGAAAGTCCCACTTAGACTTTCTGAAAAACCCACTTACAGTGTCTACAGCTTTCTGACAGTCTCACTTTCAGTGTCTACAGCTTTCTGACAGTCCCACTTACAGTGTCTACAGCTTTCTGACAGTCCCTGACTTACAGCATCTACAGCTTTCTGACAATCCCACTTACAGTGTCTACAGCTTTCTGACAGTCCCACTTACAGTGTCTACAGCTTTCTGACAGTCCCACTTACAGTGTCTACAGCTTTCTGAAAGTCCCACTTACAGTGTCTACAGCTTTCTGACAGTTCCACTTACAGTGTCTACAGCTTTCTGAGGGTGCCACTTACAGTGTCTACAGCTTTCTGAGGGTCCCACTTATTGTGTCTACAGCTTTCTGACAGTCTCACTTACAGTGTCTACAGCTTTCTGACAGTCCCACTTATTGTGTCTACAGTTTTCTGACAGTCCCACTTACAGTGTCTACAGCTTTCTGACAGTCCAACTTACAGTGTCTACAGCTTTCTGAAAGTCCCACTTAAAGTGTCTACAACTTTCTGAAAAACCCACTTACAGTGTCTACAGCTTTATGACAGTCTCACTTTCAGTGTCTACAGCTTTCTGAGGGCCCCACTTACAGTGTTTACAGCTTTCTGACAGTCCCTGACTTACAGTGTCTACAGCTTTCTGACAGTCCCTGACTTACAGTGTCTACAGCTTTCTGACAGTCCCACTTACAGTGTCTACAGCTTTCTGACAGTCCCACTTACAGTGTCTACAGCTTTCTGAGGGTCCCACTTACAGTGTCTACAGCTTTCTGACAGTCCCACTTACAGTGTCTACAGCTTTCATAAGGGGTGTCTTTCCCTCCTCATCCTGGTTGACCCAGTTAGGGTCTGCTTTGTTGGCCAGGGCCTCTAACATGACCGGGAGATTGCGGGCCTGAACTGCCTTGTACAACAGCAGATTAGGATCCAGTTTACTCATGTCCTCCCATGAAGTAGTAGAAGTTGTGTCATCTCCATCTTCTAAATCTGAACCTTCTGAACTCTCGAGTTCAATGCCTAGAAATTTGTTTTTAAAAGATTGAATCTTAATAAGTTGTAACCAATTTCCACAAATTCAAATGCTGCAAGAAAGGCTGTTTTGTGTGAAGTACAAGTTTTCACCATTACTCTAAAAGAAAACTTGTTGAAAAATTTTTTTGGCAGTTGCTTAGATTTTTACTCAAAGAAAAAGACCAGTATACATCTAAAATGTCATAATGAACTTGTGATATCTGGTTTTAAAAAATATTTTTTTTTATATATATTTTTAAAGTATATTGAACTATTGAAAACATTCTTTCCAGCATTGTCTGATATAAGACTTAACAAGAGGCCCATTGGCCACATCGCTCACCTGAGTAACTTTGGCCATGCTGTTCTTTACCAGATTTCCCCCCTTGTAATACCTATTGTGGCCCCACCCTACCCCCGGGAGTCATGATTTGAACAATTTAGATTCTACACTACCCCAGGATGCTTCCAAATAAGTTTCAACTTTTCTGGTCCAGTGGTTCTCGAGAAGAAGATTTTTAAAGATTTTTCTTATATATTTCAATGTAAAACTTGGATTCCCTATTGTGTCCCCACCCTACCCCCAGGAGTCATGATTTGAACAATGGATGCTTCCACTTTAAGTTTCAGCTTTTCTGGCCCAGTGGTTCTTGAGAAGAAGATTTTAAAAGATTTTTCCTATATATTTCAATGTAAAACTTGGATTCCCTATTGTGGCTCCGCCCTACCCCGGGGGTTCATGATTTGAACAACTTAGAATCTACACTACCCCAGGATGCTTCCACTTAAGTTTTAGCTTTTCTGGCCCAGTGGTTCTTGAGAAGAAGATTTTTAAAGATTTTCTTATATACTTCAATGTAAAACTTGGATTCCCTACTGTGGCCCCACCCTACCCCTGGGGGTCATGATTTTTACAATTTAGAATCTACACTATCCCAGGATGCTTCCATATAAATTTCAGCTTTTCTGGCCCAGTGGTTCTTGAGAAAAAGATTTTTAAAGATTTTTCCTATACATTTCAATGCATAACTTGGATTCCCTATTGTGTCCCCGCCCTACCCCCAGGGGTCATGATTTGAAAAATTTAGAATCTACACTACCCCCAGGATGCTTCAATATAAGTTTCAGCTTTTCTGGCTCAGTGGTTCTTGAGAAGAAGATTTTTTAAGATTTTTCCTATATATTTCAATGTTAAACTTAGATTCCCTATTGTGTCCCCGCCCTACCCCCAGGAGTCATGATTTGAACAATTTAGATTCTACACTACCCCAGGATGCTTTCATATAAGTTTCAGCTTTTCTGGTCCAGTGGTTCTTGAGAAGAAGATTTTTAAAGATTTTTCTTATATATTTCAATGTAAAACTTGGATTCCCTATTGTGGCCCTGCCCTACCCCCAGGGGTCATGATTTTTACAATTTAGAATCTACACTATCCCAGGATGCTTCCACATTTGTTTCAGCTTTTCTGGCCCAGTGGTTCTTGAGAGGAAGTTTTTTTAATGACCCCACCATATTTTTGTCTTTTCTTGATTATCTCCCCTTGTAAGGGGACTTGGCCCTTTATTTTAACAATTTACATTCCCCTTCACCCAAGGACACTTTGTACCAAGTTTGGTTAAAATTGGCCCAGTGGTTCTTGAGAAGAAGTTGAAAATGTGAAAAGTTTACAGAAGGACGGACAGACGACGGACAACGGGTGATCAGAAAAGCTCACGTGAGCTTTCAGCTCAGGTGAGCTAAAAATTCTATAAGCTGTACCATCATAATGGTCTTGACTTAAACAGTTTTGAAAAGATGCTTAAATAGCAATAAAACTTATTGCTCTTTAAATGAATGCCTGAAAGAATTTATCCGATATATTCCTGTGAAAAACACAGGACCCCTACTGTAACCCAAAGACCATGTTTTCTTAAAGAGTGTATTCTAAGTAAACTTTGAATCCTTACGCAGGTGAGTTAAGGCTAGGTATAGTCATTTCTATGCAAATAATCAAATTAAAATGCCTAAGGACTATATCTATTACACAGAAAAAGTTAAAACTTATTGTATTATACTTACTTGGTACCCACGACATGAGATAGCTAGTATACACTTATCCACTGGCTGTGAGTGGGATAGCTCTTTTATCAAACCCGCGACAGGAACTATTCCCCGAGGGCTTGTATAAGTTTCCTCAAATTCCGATCAAATGAGAAAATGCCCAAGATTTGTGCAGCAGTTTTATCAATCTATAGAATATTCTTCTTTGCATTATACAATTTTTTTGTAAAAATAAATAGGGTAAGCCCTTGTGCTGAAGCTGTTTTATTGATGTGTTTTATTGCCTTCAGTAGGTAAGATCAGTGACGTCATAATATGACGTCATAATGTGTACTGGCTACAACATATCATGGGTACTATATATGCATAAGAAAATAAATCAACACTTTCCTTGAATAATAAATATACCTCTTATGCGTTTTTATTAGCTCATTTGCATAGAAACGCCTATACCTAGCCTTAACTCACATGCGTATTGCATCATCCTTATCCAGAGGCTACAATAAAAATCTACTGTATAGGGAAGCTTTAACATGTTCAGTCATTTCTGCCAAGTGACTCTACAGAGGGGATTAAAAACTGTCCCATTTTCACTACAGTAGCTTTTTAAAATTACCATCCTTTGAAAGATGTGTGATCTTTTTTTTACAAATTGAAGTCCCCCTTACCCAGTGAAACTATATACAAAATTTTGCTGATATTATCTGTGATTCTGGAAGTTCAAAATCTGAACACACACATGTAGATTAAAATCTCAAATGAAATAGCCCACTTCTGCTTTTGCCTCAGGTGAGCTAAAAAGGAAGATGACACCATAAAAAGACTATGTCTGCTTACTTCTTCCAATATTTTCTATATCCTTTCCAAACACAATAACGTCAGCACTGACACCCAGCCCACTGTCAGTATCTCGGCCACTGTTATTGGATACAGATAAAACAGCTGTACAAAAAAAAAAAATAGAAAAACAGCCTGATTAACAAGAATACATGTACAACACTGTAACAAACTTTAGCAGTGAATTTGATTGGGTTTTTCCTGGGAGTACATGAGTATTCTCACTGCATAATGTCTTATTTAACAAACCTCTACATGATAAGTCTTTCTGACAGTAAAAGGTCAAAAACAAAGTCAATTTAACAAGTGAAGATAGGTGGCCAAGACCTTATTAATTAACATTCTAAACCAGACATCTAAAATTATCTCATTATTTTATTGAATAAAGTAGCAAAAATGAAAAAGAGAAAATAATGTGTTTCTTTCTCAAAATGTAACAATTTAGTTCTGTAAAATACATGTAAATTGATTCATCATTAAAAACATGCAAGTATGATACATTTTACATAGCATCATATCTGATGAAGTAAGCTGTCATTTCAGAATTATACAAACCAGCCAATAGAATTGAGATCTGCTGTGATTTAAAAAAAAATAAGCACAGGACAACTGCTTAAACATGCTTTGAAAGAACTTAATTTTTTAACCATCACATTGCATATAAAAATATCACATGGTATTATCACCATTAATGGCATTATTGGTTAAACTGTTGGGACAATTAGGTTAATAATATATGTATGTCTAAAAATGCTCATAAAATCAGGGTGTGGATTACGAAGGACAATAGTGATATGGTAGGATTATTCTGATAAATGACCTTATTAACAATGAAAATTTTTGTGAGGCAATATAAAGTGAGAGTTTATTTTGAATGATTATTTTGATACTATAAATGTTCAAAAATAATCTTTTCATTACAAAATTTTTCCAGATTTATTTTTTGGGTTATTTTTTTTTAGTTTATGCTAATGTGTCACCTCACTGTAAAGGTTAGTATAAAATATTAAAAGGCAGGAAATATGTTAGTACTGCAACGTTTAAAGTATTGATATTCCCAGTATTGGTAATCTGGAAGTGTGTTAACAGAGTATTTCTTTTTAAACAAAATTGTGATTACAGTGGCTATTTCATCTATCCATGAAAATATTATGCCATATTGATTTATATAATAGAAATCATTCTTAAGGAAATTAACATGTGCAAATGAGCAAGAATATCTGTTTATAATTTGGTAAACTAGAAATTCTATGGCTAGCATAGTTTTCTACTTGTATCTGACCAATTTATATCAAGTATGTCAATACCTACAAATCCTTTAATTTACGTAGATTTTCTACTTCCAGTGCACCTCTTAGATCAAATTTTCAATTCAGACAAGTTGATAATTAATAATTTTGTATTTTGTTACAGCTTTCAAACATGTTAACACTGCACAAATTAATCCATACTGCATGATTCCCTTTTTCCATTAACTAAAAAAAACCAGATTCAATTGTAATCAAAATTGTCTCCCTTTTCTAAATGTTCTTGTGCAGTAGTAACAGTAAATGTGCTGTATACAAACGTTTGGAAGATGCACCAGTATCAGCAGATAAAAGCTTGATGCTTACCTCCCTCTACAGGGGCTGCAAAAGTCCCATACATGTCATCAAAAATCACAATCATAACAGTTTTGGCAACTATGCAAGCACTTTCGCAAAGGCCATATTGTATTGAAACATTTATAAGAGCTTTGGCCCATCTTGTTTTACACAAAATACTCTTTATAAGAGTGCATTATTCTAATTACTTTAAATTATAACAAGATGGCCCAAATTCTGGAGAATATTCTATTCACACATATCAAAGCAATGTATTTGTATAAATTGAAGCACCTGTTATCCTTATACCTATGTATGTATATGATTAAATGATGCAAAGGTAATTCTTTTTTGCTTTTTTGTTTGCGAAAGCAAAATGACTGTCACAGAACAGGGGCCTGAAAACACATGCGGCTTTAAAACGTACGGGAATTTCAAATGATACTTGAAAGATTTTTGAGGAAAAGAATTAGAACAAATTCTACATACAGTCAAAATGCAATCACAAAAAAAAATTCTAGGTATCTTTAGTCTCATCAAAATAAATTTGTGCTTATAGGTAATCATAGCATTATAACAACACCAACATTCAAGGTTAGGTCATGGGGTCAAGGTCATACCTTCCATGATTCCACTGGTGAGATCAGACTCCTCCTCCGAGTTATCGTGAGAGTTTGCAACATCTCGCGAGGGTGACCGTTTTGGTTTCCGCCTGACACTCCAACCTTTAACCTTATTTGAGGATTTTGGTCCTGGTAATTTGCTTACAAATGCCTTGTCTAAGTATTTTGCACGTATAAATGATTCTCGGATTGATCTGTTTAGTAAAACATATGGCATCTGATTATATCTCAGTACATGTAACATGATTAAAGAATCTTGTTTACTATATTGTTAAGAGGCAGTCCACCAAAAACCCAGGCAATGGGTGGCACATCGCATGTCATGGATTTTAATTATTTTTTGCATGTAGACTTATTAAAGCAAATGTTTACACATGGCAACATCAAAATTTTTTTTAGTGTTCCATTAGTTCTATTTTTGGTAAGTGCTTAATTTTAAGTGCAAAAAGGTCAACATGTTGGTTTAAAATTTACTACGTTTTTGCTTTGTTTTATTTGAAACAGATTCTTAAAAACTGGATATGTCAATAAATATTATATATAGTATAAACCCTTATCTTTTATAATATCAATGAATAAGACACCAATTTATATTTCTTTAGAAAAAATAAGGTGGTCTAAACTTGAGTTAAGCAAGTGACTTAATGAATTCACTATCCAATTTTCATTACGTTCTAAAATCCAATACATTAAAATGTCAAAACTTTCTCCTCATGTTATTATGAATACAAAATACAAATTGTTGAATCGATTTAAAAAATTGGTGGGAACAGGTATATTGAGAGAAAAAAGAGGCGTCAAATTATCTACTTTTTATAAATTTATCCAATTTAAACCGATCCCGACCGGAATTATATAAAGAAGAAAGCTACTATGATTTCATCATGAAATTGGGTTGTTTTGTTTTAATATGGTTTACAAATTATTTAATTTATTTTTAAACATGTTTTCTAGGTGGGAATTATCATTAATTTGATTACTTTATAATTTTGCATTAATTTCGATCGGGATTGGTTTTATTTCAATCGGGATTGGTTTCTACATTAAAAATTAGAAATATTTTCTAAAATCGGCTCTTCGTTGTATTTTATCACAAGAATTGAAGAATATGTCTGTATTTTATTTCTTTTCTGTGAGTTACATGTTTTTAGATGATTTAATCCATAGAATATATATATCTTAATTACTAAATGTTTTTCAGGTCCATGAAGATCATACATATAATCATGATAATAAAGTCCAGAAATGATCGCACGAAAAAAAAAAGCGGGGGGGGGGGGGGGGGGGGGTCTTCTGAGCGGCATCCATTTTGAACTGGTTTGATAATATATAATGAGATATTTTGGAAATTTACCAACCTACTGACTTATTTTAACTCCACATAAAGTATAAGGATATGTGGAACAATTGTCAAATTTTAAAAAGGAAAATAAAAAAATATATGTTCCATTGAATTATCTGCCGTTTAAGTGTCAGCTTGAAATGGGGCGTCCAGCAATAGTATCGGCAACATTTTCTTACTGAGGAGTAAATTTATAGTTTTCTATAACTTTTTCTCTCTATTTCAGTTTTTACATTTTTAAAAAATTATAGTCTAAACAGAATCTGAACCACCAATACTAACAGTAAACAACCATTGTTAATTAGTGAAGTGGGATGTGACGAGTACTTCCGTTCTTACAACTGTTAGAACTTACTCGGTCCGACAATCGTTCGTGAGCAATCGTATAATGCTGACTGCATATTTGATATTACTAATAAGTTAATGTATAAATATTAATTCAAGTATTATCAACACTTCATGAAGTGCACATCTCGACTTTGCTGAATTTAATGTTGCGTAAATCTGGAATATTCATCATTACTGAATAATAAGAAATAATTCTTAATCTTTTCACATCCCAGTTTTATCAGAAATGTTCATAATAAATTACACTAGAAAAATTATTTTTAGGAATTATAAAATACCAGTATATGCATGTGCTATTCACTCATTTGAAAAAATAAAACAATTTAATCCTATTATGATTACTATAAAGACGTTTTGTACATGTATAAAATTACTTATCAATACTGACTTGTTTTAAAACATCTATAGCTGAGGCACCGCCCGTGAATTAAATACATTCTGGATCAAAATTTTTAATGCACTCGGAAAAGTTATTGGACAGAAAAGAGAAATTATTTAACTTAACTTTTTAAAAATCTTTTTCTTTGCATGTTTACATAAATTTACCAACTTCCGCGGAATATTTGCAAAGTCTATTGTGACGCAATATTAGATAGGTGTTTGACGTCACTGATACATCAATGGAAACGTGGATTCAACCTGAATAATAAAGCAAATTTTAAACTAAATATTATGTTTGGAGTTGAAAATTAATTCCGATTTTGAAAATAAACCAATTATTTTTGGTTAAATGATATTCTTTAGCGTATCAGTTCTAAATATCTCACAGGGGTTCTGATAGTATGATGTTTAGCCGATTTCCCGATGCTACGGGAGATAACTCTTGCAGCACAGAATTTCATAAAAATGACTGTCTATTTTGCAAGAAAACTACTATTGAAAATATTTTTCCCACTGATTTTATTTTTTAAATTGAAAGATGAAATATTTCTTGATTTAGTTTGGAGTGAATTATAGATCTGTTGAAAATGTATTAGAATTTACAGTTCTTTGTTTCCGACCTACATTCAATGGTTTATATAGGGGATTTCAAAAACACAAAACAAAACGATATTTTAGTAAATAAGCTATTTTCAAACAAATCTTTACTTACATTATTCCATATGCACTACATTAATATCATTTTCAATAAAATATCAAATATTCGTCACATTCGATGTGCCGCCTATTAATACAATACTGCCTGGTTTTCTGGTGGACTGCCTCTTAAATACAGAAAGGATTCAAAGGATGAAGGTAAGCTTATTCCATATAGAAATTATTATAATAGAATATTTTAATGTAACTGTGACAATATACTGATACAAAGATATTGGAAAATAATAAAACAAAATGAAATAATAACAACAGAGATAGTACATTTTAAAAAGTTTATGTTTTTACTCCTCATCTGTTTAAGTACTGCATCATGTGGCTAAAGAAAATTAAAGCACCTACATGGAGCCACAATTTTTTTTAAACAAGCATTCTCTTTACTCTGAGATTTAATCTATAACAGCTTTCAAAACATTGGGGTAGACTTACAATAAACACAAAGTCTGTATGATGTCCATTACATGGATTAAAAGGTGGCTGATGTTAGTGATAGGCCTGCCCCTGATTAGATATAGTGAGATACAAGTCACCTACGATATGCTTACATACCTATTACATTCGGGTGTGGCCTTTACTGCCACTGCATCATTCAAATTAGCTTCATAGATTCTGTTTACATTATCATTCCCTAATTCTGCCATGACTTTCAGGAGCTCTGGATCCCATGAATCTAGGGTAATGGAGCGCACTTTTGACATGTGAACACCAAAACTCCTGTAAGAAAACAATTCAACAAACACCTAAAAATTCCATTCATAAAACAAATGAAACAATAAAGATCCCCCAGTGTCTGAAGTGGAGGAAATAGAATTACAAAAGTTACAATTTTTTGGGGACAAACTAAATCTAAACTATCAAAAGAAAAAGCTCCAGAGTTAACAAACCTATGGATGCCTGAGCACTCGATACATAAAGTGGCCCCGAGATTGATGGAGGCCCACCGTGGTTCTGGTGACCCACAGTCACAACAATGGCTGTTTCCTGGGATAGCAGTTAACTGGTCCATCCTTCTGTAGCACAACAGAAGAAAAATGGAGAGTACAGAATCAAAATCTATCTGGGATCAAATTGTAACCACAAATTACTTTTTGCAATCCATTTAGTACACAATCTACTTGTATCATTAGGATGTCATTTTGCGAGTTCTGATTCTTCTTAAAACACAATAATTTTCAAGTTCTATTCAATTATCTTTAAAACTTGCATTATCCTGAATCATTTTTTTTTTTACATGCCCTGAAAGGAATACTTACTGTTGAGCTTTGCTGGGCTGTCTTTGCTGAGAGTCAGGGGTGGATGTCATATTTGGACTAGAAGGAGCAGAAGAATTCCCCTGAACTGGCTCATCTGTGTCCTGTACACACACCAAAAAAATTGTGTATATTAACTCCAAAATGTAAATAAATTTTATTTATCAAATGATTGATAACCAAGCAGTTCACATACAAACTCAATAATGCAATCAAAATGCATGCAATACATATAAAAACTCAATTTTTCTGTCTCTAATATTCAAGAAATAAAAAAACTTGGTACAAGATGACAGAAATGGTGATTTTTTTTTATCTAGATCTAGATTTCAAAGGTAACTGTTTCTCCCCTTCTGTTGTATAGTCTTGTAACTGAGGCCTTGTAGTACTAACCAGCGAGTGACTCCTATGTTCCATAGCTTTGTAGGCCTTTGTAATGGCTGTCTGGATATTGTTTAGCCAAAACTGAAGGTTCTGATCAGATTCAGCTTGTAACATGTGAGATCTGAAGAAAGTCAGGGATTTAGAATTAAAAACCAGAAAGCTATCCTTTACATATACCTGATCCTTCATTCAAAAAAAAAAATAAATAAATAAAATACTTGTGTTATTTTTATTCAATAATTAGAAATTTAAGCCTGCAAATCCCACCCAGTGTATTCCAAGCCACATATAGCAAGAAAGCAGTTCCATCACATGTGCAAAAGGTTTTATGAAGATATAAAGCTATTTCCTTATTTGTAGTTTTATCTTGGACAAGGGCATTTGAAAATGTAAATATTACTGTATAACTGCTAATTTTCACAATGATCTGATTTCACTATTTATGATATTTTTGTAGGGCTGTGCAATAATATCGATATTCTGGTACATGTATATTACGATTCGTTGACAAAAAATATCGTATTGCAATACATTTTTTTCAGTATCGGTATACCAGCAAAATGCTTGGGCTTTGGATTTCTAAATTAAAATATGAAATTTAAGATGTTGGAAATGTTTTCAATCTTGCAAAACAGTAAGATTCCTGTTGGATGGTTGCATTTTGTTGCAAAATTGTAGTGAAATCAACATTCAAGAACTTTTTTGTTACAATGTTTTTATAATAGTTTTATACACTCTGCTTAGAAATGGAGGTTAAAAAATAAGAAAAGATCATTGTAACTGTTGTTGAAAATATTGTAATACATATCGCAATACAGTTAAAAATATTGCAGTATACTAAGTATTGCAATATGAAATTCCCAGTCGATACGCAAATTCTAAAAAATGCAAAGAGTGGATTTTACAAATTAGTTAGTGCCTTTTGACTTGAATTCCAAGAAATAAACCTGAAGTATGCATTTCACGAAAAAAAAAAAAAGCAAAACAAAACAAACAACATCAAAACCAATTACATCGTTTTAGTTCAGGCTATTCAAATTACCAAATTTTTCATTAAAAAAAAAATGATTTTAATGAAAAGAATGAAACTCTTAGAAATAGTTCCCAGCTTAATTACAAATAGTGCAATTTACTCCAGCCACACAAATGTACTCTGAATCCAGCCCAAAATCAATTTCTTTCACTATACCTGCTAAATGAGAATATGGTATAATTACCTTGTGGGAGAAAGCACCTCAAAACAGAACCTTCGATCTGTCTCATACACCAGTTTGACTGTACATAGTCTGATGTCCTCCTCCATTATTGAGTATTCTCGTGATCCCCGCTTCATGTATAATAACTGACTATTCTCTATACTGAACCACCTCCTGTTAAATAAGAACAAGACAAAATTAAACATTATGATGCAAACTGTAAAAAAGTTTTTGGATCATAATACTCTCCTGCACTGCAATCCTCTTTCCAAAAAGTAACCTCATATAAACTGTGTGGTCCACTTTGACCATTAGTGCCATGGTATAACAGATGTATGAGAATTAATGTTTGGGTTTGATATGACAATTTCAATTAAAGTTTAACAGCTGGATCCTCTTTATCTAATGATGACTTGTTTCAAAGTTGATTAAAAAATTATCTTGAGTAGAAGAAAATATGAAATAATAGACACAGATAGAAAACAGACAAGATTTCATAAGTTGTGCTACCACTTTGAGTCCCTGTTCAGATAAATTTTGTTGATAAAAGATATAGCTTTTACAAGAGTTCATTTCTAAAACAAAGAAGCCAAACTGTAATATTCAATGCTTAACTGTAATTGTTATGATGCTAATCATAATGTTGTTGTACCAATTATTGCAGCAGTTTTTGATTTTTGGTTATACTAATTTTTTGGTTAGTTTGTAGGTGAGTATTCTCTTTAGTGTGTTCATTAATTTTACGGCCCAATTAAGGTAGGAATTTCAAAGATCTTACTGGTTCTCTTAATGGGCAAATCATCTCACCTAAACAAGGATTTAGAGTACTCGCTGATTCTGGACCCAGAACTTGTTCTCTTGAGTAAACTCACCTAACCCAGGATTTAAAGCCTTTACTGGTCCTCTTAAGCAGTCATCTGACCCAGGATTTAAAGACTTCACTGGTTCTCTTGAGGAAACTCACCTGACCCAGGATTTAAAGTCTTTATTAGTGTTTTGAGTAAACTCACCTGACCCAGGATTTAAAGTCTTTATTAGTGTTTTGAGTAAACTAACCTCACCCAGGATTTAAAGTCTTTATTAGTGTTTTGAGTAAACTCACCTGACCCAGGATTTAAAGCCTTTACTGGTCCTCTTGAGCAAATAACCCTCCATTGGTGAACCCTCTTTTTCTACATCTGAAGGGTCCTGGAAATAAAATTATCAGATAAATGTAATATCTAAGGCAATGTTTAGTTACTTTGGACTATATAAGTTGAAGATTTGTACATCTGTTGGCAGTTCAACTTTGCTACTGCCATGTCTGAAAAGACATCCTTGCATGTAGACCTTAAACTACCAAAAGCTCCCACATTGAAATACAAGTGAAACTTAAATGAAAAGTGTAAACTAAAACAGAAATCTCCTTTCAAAGAAATTAATAAAATAAAATTTACCAAAACCTCTCACTTGGACATTCATGTATTATGACACTGAAAAAAATATAATCTAAACCACATACAGTTTTTCCTTTCTAAGAAATTGATAAAATACATGGTTTTAGCAGTGAATTACTTGATTATAATTGCAACAATATATTGATAAAAAAAATTCACTATTAATCAACCAAACTGAAGTTTAATAATTTAATTGATCAAACTGAAGTTGAACAATTGAACTGTATCAGATAAGAATATTCTTAGTTTATGTCTTAAAAGAAAAGCGACACAGATTCATGTGTAACCTCTGAAAAACATACAACAGTTGTAATTCAGCTTGGCATCGAAAAATGATGTTTTGACATTCCTTGACTTCTTTTCCTTAACAATTGCAACTCGGCAATATTTTGTAAGTTTTACTTTACAAATCAGTATTATCTTGACCACTTTGCCAGTAAAACATTGCTATAATTGATGGCTCCCCTGTTAACCTGTCTTCATATCACATGTTTTGTATACAATAAATTACCAACAACAAGCAAGAAATGCATATGCTTGCTTGATGTTGTAGAAGTGGCAATATCCCAACCTGATTGTTATGTGATCTTGACCTCTCCCCGACAAATGTAAATTCTGTGTTATATGCCAACACCAATAACACCAAGAATAATCTGCAATTAACTATCTAAGACAAACAGGTCTTTATGAGAAAGATGACTGCTGGCAGATTTAACCTCCCTCATTATCTAGGCATGAAATCTAATGGGAAAATCAATAAAATTGATTGGGAAATTATCTAGGGTACTTGTTTAGCTTGTAGATGACCAATCTTAGCCCCATTCCTCCTAAAGTTCACAACATATGGTTCTCGTCATATCTTCACCAGAACTTTCTAACACACTCCAAGATTCAAGTCTATATTTACCAACAAGCTTTTTACACCTTTCTTAAAATAATCAAAAGAATAAATTTTTAAGAGATTGTGAAATTTGCTTGCCTGATTTAGGAAATGAAAAAATATACTAAAAGATAGATGCATATGTTTTTTTTTTATCATAATTTTCTGTTTCCCAATTTAATTCCAAGATTTTTATTTCCTGTATAAAAATGTTAAAAGTACTGCAACATAGCATAAATTACCTTTGCCTTGATTTCAGCATACTTGAAAATCTTGGTTCCTTATCTATTCTGGATAATAAAAGTGATGTAGAACATTGCCTGCTACCGGTAGCTGTTTGTGACATTTAAAGGATTTCAAAGGAAAAACAAAATTTATTTCCTCTTTACCAACAATTCAAAAAGTGTTAATCATTTGGAAATTTTACATGTTTCATTTACTCTACTTTTTAGTTCAAATTACCAAGTTTAGAATTAATACTAATAATGTTGTTGTTGTTTTTTTCCCTTGAATGTTAGTTCATCTTCAGCTTTGATTTGTCAAAGCCCTTTGTGGTTTACCAAATCTGCTTGATTTTCATTTCATCTCCAATTTTTGTAAGAGAGAATTAATTATCACAATAACTGAATAATACAATCATTTCAATTTAGTGAATAAAAGATCAAACTTTTTTTCTTAACTACTTTTTCTCTACATTTCTGGTTGCAGTTTACATGTCTTTGGACATTAGGACAGTTAAGAGATTGACTTTGATATATGGTACAAGTCACTGGAACAAACACCATCTGACTACAAATGATGAAGATTTGACATCTTGAAGAGGAGTCAGTGGATTTCTCAAATACCTAACATTTAACTCAGATATGTGGGTGTAAGCATATGTTTTAATCCTCTTAGAAAAATAAATTATCAGTACACTGAAAAAATTGCATAATATTTGTCTGATACGTTACAGCATGAATTCAACAATTAAATACATGACATATCACAGAACAAAATTCATATCAAACAGGTTTTGTGATCAGATACAAATTACATGACTGGGTGACTCGAGCATGTCACACCTTGAGAATGTAATTGCAGTGAAAATGACTGTTACTTTATATACTGCTTGAAAAAATAAAAGCTCTTCTGCCTTATCTATTTCACAATATACATGTAATTATTCCCAAACAAACCATTAATACAAGATCAAATGCAGTCAAAGATTACATGAGCTCATGTAACTTATGATCCCCCTCGTTATTTTTTAAGATCTATTTTAACCCTGAAAACATCAGAAGATTAAGAGAGTTACACTAAACCATTGACTGCGGGGCTCCCGTGACCCTTTGTCCCCCCTTATACCTGTGATTATACACATTGGCATGTGGTGGGAGTATGAGTCTGTCTTGATCTCTGTAGTGTGGAGGGAAGCAGTAGCTAGTGCTGATGAGAATGGAACACAGAGATGTATTGTAATCATTGAACTGGACCAGCAGTTGTGTGGTTATAATACACTGTCTTATTGTTAGTTTGTCAGATGATGTTAGACTTGGAGGACATTTAAAAATTTGACAGGTAAGTCAGAAATTTTTTAGTGAAATATACAGGTATAAAGACGAAAAACTCCTTTGAAAATACAAAAAAAAAATTTAATATATACTTAAAATATTTCAATATGTGAAAATAAAATTTCTTATTGTTTTTCTCACAGTAAATTCATTGATTCAGAAATAATACATTTATGTTTATAATATTATTAAAATCTAATAATTAATTTAACACCTTTTCCAGATTTAAAAATTCTATTCATATATCAAAAGTAACAATGATTTTAATTTTTTAAAAAATTTATTTTACTCATCTATTTATTTATTCATTTTGGGGTCGGGGGAGGGAAGGAGGGGGGAGGGGTTATGCTTTAATCAATTTTAATTTATACATTCTTGAGTACTATTTTGAATTCAACACTCTCTTTTCTGATTTTTTTTTTCTGCACAACTCACACATTTCTATACAGTCAATACATTTTAAATTTCTCCCCCCACTACCCCCCCCCCCCAAAAAAATTACAATTGAAAACTGTAACGTGTTTCATTACAGGCGCAGATCCAGGAATTGAAGTTAGGGGGGGCGCAGAAGTAGGCGGGGGGTCTGGGGGCCGCCTTGAGGCCCCCAGTGGGTCCAGGCAAAGCCCTGGTGGGGGCCCAGGGGGCGAAGCCCCCGGAAGCTCCTGGATTCTCGAGATTTTGTAGGGTAAAAATGAGGTCTACCGAGTAGACATTTTTTTCATTTTCTTGACGAAACTATGATTTACGCTAACTTTGACAGTTTTAGGGGGGGCGCGCGCCGGGTGCGCCCCCCCCCCTTAAATCCGCCACTGCATTATATTCAGTTAAAATCCTATTAAGAAATGTATATATGTAGATTTAGGAAATAAATACCCGAAAATGAGGATTTGTTTTCGAAATTAGAAATGATTGAAGCCCATTAGAAATGTAAGGTTTTAAATGTATTTTCTAACTAAATCTTTAGAGCAGTGCACAATTCAGACGAATCCTGAAGATCTACAATTTTTTTATTTCTATCTTTCTACTATTTTTTTTATTTCTATCTTTCTATATGGCAAAAATGTGTAAATCCAAACAGGAAGGCAAAGTAGAATTATCTACTACAAAGTAAAATTAGAATTATCTACTGCAAAGTAGAATTATCTACTACAAAGTTGAATTATCTACTACAAAGAAGAATTAGAATTATCTACTGCAAAGAAGAATTATCTACTACAAAGTTGAATTATCTACTACAAAGTAGAATTAGAATTACCGTATATACTCGCCTATAAGTCGGTTTTTTGGGAGTTAACTTTTGGTCTAAAACTCTATGTCCGACTTATAGGCGAGTCATCAAAAGCTTGGTATTTTTCTGGACGACAAAATGTAGTATTTTTTACATAACTTCAACGATTATCATTGAGAAATGTCTGGACGTATTATATTATTTATGTATTCTAAGATTATATATAAAGTACGAGTATTTACAAGTTTTAATGATTTTATTTTTATCTTAAGTGTATATTATTTATTTGATTAATTATTAACAAAAAATATTCCTTTCATTAACTTGTGACTTACTGTAAATCTATTGTTTATTGGTAAAATTGAATTGTGAACCAAATATGATACGTTCAGCATTAATGTATAATTATATGTACCGTCTGCAATGTTTTTGACAACAGATATAATATTCTTTAAAAATAATTCAGAATATTATTCTGGAGTCCATTAAAACTTGATTGTATATGAAAATGCTTCCCATGTGTGGTACACAATTTTCTCGGAACGCATGTCACTAAATAAACACGGTGTCAGGTAAGGGATATAGGTAATTAAGAGACAATAATTGCTAATAATAAATCAAACATAGCATTATTAAAAACTATAGATATGGCTTGGACTGAGCACCACCTAATTAAATATTAAATAAAAAAAAATGTTGCTAGACTCGTTACATAGTTCATCACCATGCCAAAGAGACAGAGATCCACCTATGATCGAGATCGGTGTATAAAATGTAACAAGACAAGGGATTTAATGCTTAAACAAAACAATATAAAAAGAAAACTAAAGTGGTTTGGTTTGTTGAAAAAAAAAATTAATTACCAATGTCATATCCTAACATATTATTTGAACACAGGTAAATACATTAGAGTATTGATATGAAATTTATAAGAGAAGAAAAAAAAAGATAAAATATCGGCGTAATTTCTCAAAATATTATTTGAAACAGATGTTAAAACATTAGAGCATTGATTTGAAATTGCCCGCCGATTCTGGCAAAAAGTTATACCGACTTATAGGCGGGTCAATGGCAAATCCCTCCAAAATAACCTCAAAAATCACAACAGACTTACAGGCGGACCGACTTATAGGCAAGTATATACGGTATCTACTGCAAAGTAGAATTGTCTACTACAAAGTTGAATTATCTACTACAAAGTAGAATCAGAATTATCTACAGCAAACAAGAATTATCTACTACAAAGTTGAATTATCTACTACAAAATAGAATTAGAATTATCTACTGCAAAGAAGAATTATCTACTAGAAAGTAGAATTATCTACTACAAAGTAGAATTAGAATTATCTACTGCAAAGAAGAATTATCTACTGCAAAGTAGAATTATCTACTACAAAGTAAAATTATCTAATGTAAAGAAGAATTATTTACTACAAAGTAGAATTAGAATTATCTACTGCAAACAAGAATTATCTACTACAAAGTAGAATTATCTACTACAAAGTAGAAATAGAATTATCTACTACAAAGTAGAATTATCTACGACAAAGTAGAAATAGAATTATCTACTGCATAGTAGAATTATACACTGGAAATTTTATAACCAAACTGGCACTTGATGTCATACAGGCATGGCTGTATCATATAACTTGTTCATATGAAGCAAGGTTTACTGTAAGAAACAAGGTATATTAGAAATTTAGCTGATTTTATGCCCTGTTCACACTGAGAGTTTAATTCGCAGTAAATTAATTCGAACTAAACTAATGCGAATTAAACTAATGCGAATTAGATTGCATTCACACGAGAACTAATGTGAAGTAAACTAATGCGAATTAAAATTATGTTTCTACAGTAAGGCTATTCTGTAAGCCTATTATGACGTCATTTTCAAATCAGGTCACATTGTGCAGAGCAGGTACATTTTACATGCCATAAGTGTCTGTACACATTTTACTGATAAACATACTTTTCTTTGGTTTTCCACTCAAAAATAGCACAAGTTACTATATCTGACCACCGACATGTGGTCTTTGACTTAATTCTATCCTTACGCATGCGTCAAAATTTAATTCGAATTAGCTTCGCTTAGCGTTCACACGGAGCTAATGCGAAGTAATTTAATGTGCAGTAAATTAATTCAAATTAAACTAATTCACATTAAATTCTCCATGTGAACGCGGTTCAAATTTAATTCGCAGTAACTTACGTTTAATTCGAATTAAACTCTCCGTGTGAACAGGGCATAAAAGAATAATTTTATTCTCTGTTATAAAGTGTCAAGTTTTTGAGGTGGTTATATACCGTGTCTGCAGATGGAAGGGGGTCAGATTTGGGAACAGAGCTTTCTTTGTTTTAAAGTACTGTATTATCTGGGGGGAAAACCTGTCTGCAGATGGAAGGGGGTCAGGATATAAAAGTAGGAAGTCAGATTTGTCTGTACTCTGGTGTATTTGATATGTATCTCTGTCCCTATAAAAAGGGAAATGCACCTGAGAATGTGCAGCTGTCTGATGAAATAAATGGCTGCAATTAGATTTTAATTTGTTGCTCCCAGTCCCAATAAATAGAGGAACATTGTTCATCTTTGCACCCTGTAATTTACCTGCAGGTATTTGGCATGTATTAACTATTATGTATTTCCTCTGGCTTAAAGAAACAATGAATAATGCCACTTAATTTAAGTGTGTTATGACTAAACTTTATCAAGGTGAATTTTCTTACATAAAGCATTATGATAAAAACTCAGAATTTGGCAACATTAGATACATTTATGCCAAAATAAAATGCCATACATGTCTGGGAAAGTATCCTGTATCACATACTCTCCATAATTACATAATATTCATCAATAACATCAGTTTTCACCATAAATTTCAATACATCATGTTTTAATGATCCTTAGCCAGTTCAAAACATTCTAAACAGTTCCCATGACTTGTGACTCTATAGTCAACATTAAAATTTACCAAAAGATAAAAAATTCCAAAAATGAATGCAATGGCATTTATTTCTTTTAATACCAAGAGCAATAAATGTAGACTATATGATACCTCTTTTCAATCTCATAATCATCTCTTTCCAAAATCTCAGACATATTTTCCAGGTATTAAAGATCTTTGCTGAATGTCTCACTACATACATTCAATATCTACAAGTGGGTGGTAGAAATCTAAATATCCAAAGCTTTTTTTTATAAATCATATTGATACCATAATGGGAACCTAACATAATACAAGCTACTCCAGGTCTGTACTTGTTACATAATACATAGAAAACAAGAAAAATGGCCTATAACCATAAACTAAAAACAAACTGAAGTCAAAATTTAGACTTTGAATTGATTTTAAAAACATAATGAAAAGCTTGTTATTTCAAACATTAAACTAATTTCAAATTTTTTTTACTTTACTTAATGATAAATCTGTTGTCAGCTTGTGGTCTTGGGGCTGAATCACTTAAGTGGGTGGGACTTCCAACTCACGTTGACATATCCATGGTTTTTTGAGATGTAGATGTTCAAGATACTGAACTTTAACTGGATATAATCAAACTAAGTAGACAGATACATTTTGCACATACAAAGGTCATGGTCAAGGTCTCAGTTGATGCTTTGATTCAAATTACTGCACTGTGGTTACTTTGATATGAAATTAAATTAATAATTATGATAGGTACAAAATGTATCTCTGAAACATACATCTTACCAATTCAAGGTCAAAGGTCAGCTGTGATGAGATAAAATTAACCTATACTTCTACAAGAATAGATATGGGTTA